GTAGTGAATTCATCATTGTTAATAATTGTCGATGATCGAGTCGTCCTCGTGGCACAACAAAACTGGCAAAGTTTAGAATCCCTACTATTTGTTGTAACTCTTTGACAGTTACTTTTTGTTGTTCGAGTATATAATTCGTCTTTTTTGCTAAGGCGATAACCTTCTCCTTTGGTAGGGATTTTAGATTCCCCCAAGGATTCCAGTCTATACCTAAATAAATTATATTCTTTTGAGGGTAAAGTACCGATTTTTCGAAATTTATTTCCCAACCCAAATTCTGTAGCATTTATATCGTAAGTTTTACATGGTTGCGCAAGGTATTTTGATTCTGATGTGCAATAAGGAAGTCGTCTAGGTACACTATGATTCTTACGTTCCATTTTTGCCGCAACATTTGAGCAATCCAATTGGACAGTATGGAGAAGGTTTTTGGGGCTGTACTCAGGCCAAACGGAAGACAAGTCATCTCTAATAATTGTTGGTTGTATATCAGTCGTAGGAAGCGTCATTGTGACTTTTTTATACTGAGGTGAAAATAGGCCTGCGACAAATCTACTTTACATAGCCAGTCCCGAGGTTGCAGGAAGTTCGGAATGCTGTGCATGTTTATGAGATGAAACGGTTTGACCGTTACATATTTGTTTAGTGCTCTTAGATTGAATATAGGACGAGCTGTTCCGTCTGATTTTGGTACCAGAAATAGAGGCGAAACAAAGCTGGGAGAGACATGGGCGACTTTTAGAATTCCTTGCGATTGCATTTTGTTTATTATTATGGACATTTCTTTTGAGACAGGAGTTTGCAAGGGGCATTGTTTTAGATTTGGATATAATAGAGGAGGTTTTTGAAAGAAAGGTATGCGATAGCCTTGAATTAATTGCAAAACAATTTCTGGTGCACCCATATCTTTCCATTGTGTGTGGAAGAGTTTTAACTGACCTGCTCGAAATGGCTTTGAGTCATTGTTTCTGTATTTTTTTAATTCCTTTATGGGAATTTCTGGACGTATTTGTACGTCCTCGGTTATTTCCACGGTTGTGCTGCGAGCCACGGTCGTGTTAGTGCCTTGCCTGTGTTAGTGTATTGAACATTAGAAGTATATCGTACAGGAGGGTAGACAGTATGTTGACACTGATATCCACCCCGCGAGGGTGGATTATTACATGCATGTGCATGCAAACTTGGTTCGTAAGAGTAATATTGGTTTCCACGCGATGGAACCGCTTGTCTCTTTATGCCTTGTCCCCGCGAGGGATGGCGGTTAGATAGATTAGGTTGATTTTTATATTGTGAAATGTTATCACGTTTTAAAGGCCAGAATGCTTTTCGCATTCCACCAACTTTTTCTAATGTAGATGTAAAAGGCTCAGCATCAAATATGAATGTAGCAGATGGAGGAATTCTATTCAGAGAAGCTTTTATCAGAGGATCACGGACTTGGCTTATAATACTCTCCCGCCGCATTTCAATAGATTCAGCTCTATGGCCACAAACTAATTGTAATAAATCGGAAGATATTTTATGGAAAGGACCTTTTTGAAATATTTGCTCTAACTGTAGATTTAAATTTTCAACATTTAATTCTTTCGTATTTTTGGCCCAAGAAAGAAGGTCACGAAATCCTTCTTGAAGGGATTCTCTTTGCTTTAAAATGCAAAAAGTTATAGCCGCGTATGATTTGTCAGCATACGCTAAGTTACGAGAAGTGTCATACATTTTGACTTCCTCATTAGTTTCTAAATCAGTATAGCCTGGAGTATGATTATACAACTTTTGTGTTTCAGCATATCTCACATCGGACCAGGAGGAGGTGCCTAGGCGCTGAACCTCTAGCAACTTTTTTAAAAAATCATTGGGTGTTTTTGGGACAACTGGTTCCTTTAACTTCGTATCAATATCAAAAGTAAAATCTTTATTTTCACAAGAAAAGCAATCGTCAACGACATCAGTATATAGCTGGCCACTAACCTCAGATGAAAGCGACACGTTGTCATGACAAAATGTATCATTTTCAACATTCTTACTAATAATAAACATTTCTTTGAGCTCACCCAATTCTTTCACCAATTTGTCCATTTTGCGTGCAGTGCGACGAGCACGCTTGCCTTTCTTACGGTGGCGGCGCGACTGTTTGTCTGAATATGACGAACTAGAAGAGCTGCTTGAACTGCTACTTACACTTAGGATTCGCATAAATCATTCTCATCATCAGCCATCCTATAAACAAAAGATATTAAAAAAAAAAAAAATCCTTATCTAAAGAAAAAGTAGTGAAGGTACTCATACAGGTATGAAATTTCTAAAAATAACTTTTGTTAAGAATTGCATTAAAAATGGACGGTGAAATAAAAATTGTTATAAAATTATTATTATAAATCCTTATAATCAATTTTTAGTCGAATAGCATTTACTCTTAATATGAATTAAAAGGATCGTACGAATATGTTACTGGCTAAAAGTAATGCAATATCGTAATCCGAACGAAAAATCGTTTATAAATAACGATCACGATATAATAAAATAAAAGGTACTTACAGTGTTTCTTAAGGATAATTAAATCACTTTATACTTATTTACTGAGTACCACTGCAGAAACAGTGTTGCTGCAGACAAGTTACTTCGACGAAAAACGAAACGCCAATGACGATAGGAAGCACATTTTTACAAAAGTAAAAATCGTGCATCCCCGCCAGGTGTCGCCACTGAGCCGGAAATTCCGGTATAATAATAATAATTTAGGACTGGCTAACGACGGAAACGGAAATGCTCTCTCAATGTATAAAGCTTCCAGTGACGGTCAAGTACTTTAATATTTATATTTCCATCTTTATCAACCATATTCATTGCAAATAAATATTGTTATATTATATTATTATAAATACTTTACAGAAGTATAATACTTGAAATAATAAGCTTTAGTACAACTATTGAATCTGTTCAATAGTTACACAATAATATTTTATGTAAAATGTTAATATTGAATAACCTATATCTATGGTATATACTGTAACCCTTTCTTTCCCTTGGGTGTCGTAAAAGGTGACAAAGGATTTAATGGTGAAGGGATGGGCAGCAGTGTCCCTCTATAAACATTACCAAAGCTTAACATTGGTTTCCAAGCCGCCTGCTAAGCGTGGCAAAACCTCCCAATCTATAGAGGAGGCTTATGTTCAGCAGTGGACAGATAATGACTGATATGATGATTTACTATAATAATGATTGTAAAGTTTAAAAAATATTATTAGTATCTCCTGCTCTCTGTTTTATAAGGTACGTAAAAAAATTATGTGGTGAGTCTTGTTAGAAGCTTTCCTACACGACGAAGACTGTTTTAAAGTCTTGTCACTAAAAAATGTCGTCTTGACACGAATAATAATAATAGTAGGGACTCCTAAGGGACATATCTTGTATTATAATCAGAGATTGAATAGGGCAACAATTAAAAATGAATGCGTGCTATTGAGTACAAAAAGGTTGATTATGAAATATTTCGTATATTCAACAAACCCGTTATTGCGCCTTAAAATGTTGAACTTTCATTACACTGAAATTACAAACATTTATATTTTTCAGTCCCTTGATTTTAATAACATATACATAATTTCCTTTGGGACGCACCACGCTTGAAATGTCCCTTGGAAAACAACTGTTAACAAATGTTTTCTATTATTTTAATTTACCAACAGGACTGCTCTTTGCTGATGGATTAAATTTTAGTAAAGAACTTTACTTGGATTATTTATTTTCCTAGTGGTTTTGGTTATTTGGCTCATTTCTTTTATTAAATAAAACAAGTGAAACTTCACAAAAATGTAATGCTTCAGTAGACAGTAGCTATATTATTAATAGATTAAGTTTTGAAAATTAAGATAAAGTTTTACCAATTTCACTTATTTATATTGATTAAACAACTTTTTAAAATTTATAATTATTTTTATTTAAGTATATATAATATACCTACGTAATTGTATACCATCATTTGAATGACATTTGTTGTTGCAAAACCTATGTACAATTTAGTCGACATACTAGATTGAGAATATTTAAATTTTGAAAGCAGAATCGTATTTATATTATACTTCACAACCGTTTTTGTTTAGAAAATAAAATTGATACGTTTAGTCGTCACAAAATTAATCTAAAATCAACATAAGTGCAATAATTATCAATTTCAAAAAGAATTATCGAAGTTGATTCAAATTTGGCAATTGGTAAAATCGCATAAAATTGTCATAAAATAGATATATCCTTTTTTGGATTGTTTTATAGACCATCGATTATTTTAAAATCAAACAACTAAAATGTGAAACTATTTAAATAAAAAGCTGAACTTCAGGAATGTTGGTAAAGTCAGAAATGTAACAGGGACCAAACCTACCTTTACCTACTCCATACCCTTTATCAACGAAAGTATATGAGAAGAAATATTAAATATTGAGGAAGATAAGTGGATGTATGTTGTAATGAAAATAAATGGCGTTCTGCCATCTTTACTTACTTTAAAATTTAAAGAGTAGGGCCTGTGATTAGAATGATAAAAATAATCTTGATTATTATTTTTTGTTAGTATGACAGGGATTATAAGTAATTTAATAATATAATATAATTTATTTAACTCCACAAATTGAAAACGACTGTCCTGTGAAAAAAGAACAATTTAAAAAATCAAATTTTCAGCCAATGTCACTGTGTATAATATATAAATTCTACGACAACCCATACATCCAAATCTGTTTAAGTATTTATGATGTAGAAACAGAAGTGATGATGGAATAAAAAACTCACATACATGAACCTTGTAAACGTTACACTCACTTTTTGGATAGTTGTGTAACAATGTACAGAGTTATAAACTCGTTACACATTTATGAAATTTTATAAATACTGATTAAACTTATTAAATTGGTTTTTGGATAATTTAAATTAGATTTTAAAAAATAATAATAAAATACGTAGGCCCGGTATCCCGGCACAAATTAACATAATTGTTTTGTTCCCAGGTGGCTGTAGTGGCTGATCGGGCGTTACTCGCTGTCTTCGTACTTGTCACCACAATAGCTACGGCCGCCATTTTGTTGCCCCAACTCAACAATTTGCATGTGGGCAATACGCCTCTAAAACCGCCCACCTAGAGACCATTTTCCCCTGCAACATGGGAACAAAATCAACGAATTAAACTTTAATTAAAATTATGTGCCAATAAATAAACGTCGTGTCAAGATGAAGTGCCAAGTAAGTGATCAAAGTGACTTTAAAATGATAACAGCAATAACTGATGGTGAGGACATGAGTTGATGATAGACAGTCGGTTGATAATGTTTTATCGATAAAGTGATACTTGTATTATAATGTGTTTCTCAATGACTCGATTGTCAATTGCTCAACTGAACTTTGGTCGATGTATTTTCGAATACTCCACCAATTCGTTGTGGATGGATGTTGATTGATTTACACCAAATGCAATCTACTTGTTGTATGAAGTGATACATAATGTTTGCCAAATTAAACAATTTAGAGTTTGAAATAATGATTAATGAATCATTAGCTACATAATAAGATACAATACTTCGTTAAAGGTCGAATACGAGATCAGATTTCAATAACAATGTTTTTAATGTAATTGTTTATATCAAAGGTTACGTCAATTAAAATATTTTTTTACTGTAATAATTTTGCTAGATTATATAATATATGGATTTAGAGAAGAAAGTAATACTTACAAATAGATAGTAGTTAATACTGTTGACTCTTTTGCTATGTTTAATTCATCAGTTTAATTATAAACTGTGAAAATGTGTACTCAGAATAATTTAATAATGTGCAACATTCATATTTTTTTAAGTATAGCTGATAATCGCGGAGTTTATTAATAAAAAATACTTATTATCGAAAGTATCACGGAATAAATCATATGTTCTTTACATTTTATGGATATGATCATTGATTTTGTCCAATAAATATATATGTAACTGATTGAAAAAAAAAAATAGTTATTTAAATTTTGAACAAGGTATATTTCCTGTTTGCTGAGTTAATCACGAGTATTTGATAAAGTTAAACCCCTTTATTCATAAAAAGTCAAACCTTTTATAAATCTATTTTAGCCATTGTTTCATCTCTTTTTTCCATTCAAAGGATGCTAACGATTTCTATATCATTCTGTATAATAATACAGCATACTTCATTAAAATAATATTAATGGAGACAACTAAGCGTCTACTAAACATATTTAAATTTCAACACTCATAATATGGGGTTCACCATTTTTTAGAAAATTGTGATCATTGTGATTTTTTATGTTTATAAATATTCTTATATTTATATACCTGTCATGATTGTTTCATTAACTGGATAAGGTGAATCTTGGTAGAGACAACAATAGTAGAAATACAATTAACAATGATTTGTAGATAATAGGAAAATCTTCGATGTTTGTATACTAGAAAAAAAAACATTCTTATTACTTAGTCAATAATAGTTATTATTAAATATCTCCAAGAAGATCGAATATTACACAAAATTTTGGTTGTTTATCATGTTCGAGAATATTTAATTAAGCTGTCCATTAATATGTAGATGGGACAAGAGTTACTTAGTTCTAAATTGTATTTAAGATGACTTCGATAAATATAATACTATAGATTATGCTCAAGGTTGTTGCCAAATATTGAATGTAAATATAATATAAGAATGTTGATACTCATTATAGATAGTAAGTTATCTGTTAATTAAAGTATTATCTGTATAAAAGAAAATAAAAGTTTTAAATGCCCAAGGAGTTTTGTATTCTCTAAGAAAAGTTTTTATATATACTTTTCGCTGGGAAACTTTATTTCTTTTTAAATCGAATAGATTGAGCAAATTGGCAAGCTTCTTTAGTGGTAAGTTGTTAACAATATAATGTTATTGTACTTAAGAAAAATAATAAAATATCTAAGATTAACTTCATGGAAACTCTTGTATTGTTCGGAGTTCGATTACTGAATGAATGAAAACTTTTTATTGTTTAACTCAAAGAAAGATTCAGAAATTGGGATAGAAACAGTACAGACTTACCTACTATTAGAAATCGAACGAGTATTTGCTGATTGAACACAATACAGTTAGAAAATTGTGTACTTGGTTTTACACAAAGCCTTTCATTATCGTATGACTGCTGCGTCTACCGCTCCTCGTTAGGGATTTTTTACCCTCGACATTTAATAACTCCTTTTCTCAGAAACAAAAGCTAATAAAATGTGAAAAATAAAGATCATACATGTGTGATAAAGAAAAATAATAAAAAATAAAAAAAGACAATTTCTCTTATTATAACTAATTATGCCCAGCCCATTACATTGTTTGATGACTGATATATATGTTATGGACCAAATGATTAACTTCATATTATACATAATATAAAATCTTCAAACAAAGTTCTCTTATAAAAAAATATCTTATGTAGACAAATAGACAGCTAAAGTTGCATCGTAAGCTTTTCTTTTTAGATTTTGATACGGAACCCTAGACATGCAAAACAAACCTCTCACAACCTTATTGTTAATTCTACACAGAACAATAGAAATGCAACAAACAGTTTTTTCTTTGCAATTCACTCTACTAGCCTAGAGGGTACGTACCACGTAAAGAAACTTTTAGCGCTCAATTTTAATAAGAACTATATGTATTGTTTCCATTCTTACATTTCCTGAAAGAATGAATGTATTACATGTTCTGAATTTAAAAAACAAAGGATACACAATCATAAAAATGTTGTGTTGTAATTTTAGCTTTGCTGTATAGGAAATTGTTTCTTTAACAAATAATCAAAACTACGTACCCAAGTTTCTTTCCGGAGTAGCATCCTTTATCCTCGGCGTAATGAGATCTTATAACTATCCTGTTTGGGAGACCATGCAAATTGGATTTAGATTGAAATAATATGTTTAGAAGTATATTAACAATATCCGAGATTGTAACCTTAATACAATGAAAGTTAATACGTCAGACACAGTAGCCTATTCAGGGGCTGAATCACTGCCAATATTGCATAATCTTGTTATCCGATTACGTGTAACGAGTTCCACTAACATAATTTCCTTGATTACCTACGCGTTATCAAGTTTAGGTACTTTCTTAACATAGTGTGTGAGTAAGCAGTAGGTTTGTAAAATATTTTTTTTGCAATTAAAGAAAATCTTGATCTGATCCTAAATAAAAGTAGTATTATGTTATCTATGTCATGAATACATAGAATAGGCTACCCCTACCTTTCTCGTGAGTGTCGTTAGAATCGATTAAGGAAGGACGACGGATAGGCCCTATTGCGTCCCTCTTAAAACATTTCTGGGGCCTAACTGCGGTTGCCAACCTGCCTGTCAAACGTGCCAACTATTGGCAAAATTCCCTAAGGGGGAGGCTTATGTTCAGGAGTGGACAGTTAAAGCCTGATATGATGATGATGGTATCTGTGATGAAAATAATCAATTCAATATTAGCTTTACTAGTATAATTCCGGTAAAATAAGTAATCTTATGAATGTGAAAGTTAGTAAAGCTATTTGATATATTTGTCACGCACATTATTTGCATTTTAATCACGCTTAAAGGACCGAATGGAATTATATGAAATTTAATACACGGGTAAGTATTTTTTTTAATGGATGACAATGGTATGGTAACCTCGCCTACACTGGCTGGCGGCAAATGTATACGCTGGCGGAGCATCAATACGGTATGATAGGTGAGAATGAAAAGACATGTTAACTCATCATGATGAATACACCTGAAATTCAGCATGATGGTTTCCAGGGGTGACGACGAAGGGGTCGACTTGACCATATTGCTAGTAATGGGACTAGTAGTTCACATTATTAACAATCCCTCCTCTCCCAACACACGCACACGGGTAGGTTATACCTTAACCCATAAAACACTTTATATAGTAATGCATGTGAACAAAGCCGCGAAATACAACTAGTTTAGAATTAATGTTTTTCTCTTCAATGATAAGACACCGTTTATAAGAATAAACAAATCAAATAATAATTTATTTTATTTTATAATGGCCAATTTTTCCTACTCCAAACCTTTGATTCCTCTCATTCTCGTTGTAATTTCAATTTAAATGTATTGACTGTGGCTACAAATTTGATCTGTTTCTATAAATAGACTTCCCAACTGTCATTTCACTTTCCTGTAGCTACAGACTGCCAAAGGAAGCGCGATGAAAGTACCAGAGTCCCGTACCTACTATTCAAAACTTTCAGTTTCTACAAGCGAAAGCTATATTCGATCTTGGTAGATTAAATATAGTCCACTATGTATATTGCAAATATTTAACAAAATTTTTAATATATATAAATATTGTTCCCGAGTTCGGAATATGTTCATTGAATGAGTAAAAATAAAGGAACAAATAGTATGTATACCTCTTTCAGGCCTGAACGATACGGGCGTGAGTTGTAACTTTAAAAAATTCTAAAACCGCGCGCAATTTATTTTTACGCACAAAGCTGAAATAACTTGATAGTGAGATTCTAAACCAGCCAATAAGAAATCATTTTTGCGGTTAGGTGGTGCAGTAGTCTCGTGCGTGCCGGCAAGATGGCTTGGCTCCAAGACACGAAAATATATTTAATCTGAAAGAAAAAAAATGAATGGAAATCCACAGAAAAAAACTCGTATATAGACAAAAATAACATTATTGATATCTTCTGCATTGTAAGTACTTAGTTCAATAAATATTGATACTTTAATGTTACTAACAAAGAATATTCGACGTACGAATGGTAACAATGAGGTCGATTATGAGGCGCCATTTCTCTGAACTTATCCCTTAAGCTATTACTTTAAATTGATAATTTCGCAAAATTACTGTTTTATGGACCATCATAAACTAAATTCATAATAATTTGGACTTAAATCTATTTATTTCATATTGATCCTTAGACTTAAAATATTGCTGTGATATTAAATTTAATGTTTAGAAATAAGTAACAGAATTGATCCCACGGCTACAAACCTGTCGACGTCAGTGTACTTTTTAATGATCCTAGTATGTCCCTCAACAAGACGTCAGAATTTGGTGTTCTATCTCATGCATACAGTTTGTCATTTCACTAAGGGTGCTCTCCCACAGCGATAATTTTGCGTTAGTTTTGCTCACTCCCAAGACTCAATCCCAACTAATGGGATTTCAATTAACTAAAACTTATTTTGATATATTGATCACTTGTCACATACAACTTGTATCAACATCACGTAAATGTCCGTTCTAAAGCCTGTCGACCCAATTTAAATCACTCGAAACTCGTAAGGGCGTCAAAACTTGATTTCGCCTTGACCTACGAGGGTCGCGATAATGGGCAAGTCTCTAATAAATACTGAGTTATTATTTCAGTCAAAATATTACTACTAGCTATAGCCAGAAGCTAAATAGTTACATTGATACAGAGGAATAGAGTACTCATTTATCAGACAATTAGTTGTTAAAAAAATTATTAAATTTTAAAATTGTTAAAAAATTAATTTAAACTATACTTATAAACAATCAATTACGAGGCTAATAGGATTAATATTAAATCTAAAAGTGGTCTAATATGGAAGGAATTGTTGGTAATGGGGTTTAATAGCTCCATTGCTAGCAATGTATCCTATTAGGTCGACCTCCACGCGGTTCCTCCTGGAAACCATATTGATTAATTCTTTATGAATTCCTCATTATGGGCCAACTGACCTGCTTTTATTCTCACCTGTGATCCCTCACTGGTGCTCCGTCAACGTATACCGATAGATCAGGCGGGGTTACAATTCCATTAACACACAAAAAATATCTAATCTTACTAATACATACATATAATAAAATTGAAAATACACGATGTCTGTACATCGCAGATATTTAAGAAATATTGATAGAAAAGTATTTAGAAGCCACAACAATACATTTTTATAAATTTTATCGTCTAGGCTGTCTGTATGTTTGTTCCGGCGTTGCGCAAAAACTACGATACTGATATATGTTTTATCGTGATACGACATTTAAAATAGTCTACTTCATTCATTTTTCCTACTTTGAAAATCCACCCATACAAAGTAGCGCGTAACGAATAAAACTAATGGATAGATCATTTATTTATTTACTTCAAAAAGCCTATTAACTATAGGTATGGAGAAAATCATAACCTTTATTCACATGTACTTACTTCCAACAAAAAAGAATACTCATTGACATCTCCAGAATGAGATGACTACGGACTACGTAAGAGGTGGCTACGGGAACAAAGCACAATAGCAATCCGCCAGATCAACGTGGTAATACTAGGCTCAACAGTGCGATGGGTTTCTTCCTTAATAAAAATATAGGTATCTATTATAAATGTGAACTTTATAAAAATGTTTCCCACGCATAAACAATTGAACATAATTAAATGAAAAATAATAAATGGTATTACATTTACAGGGTACAGAGGAACACTGAGTCCTGAGGAATGGCAACGCATGGGCGAAACTGTATACTCTATTATGTCCATATTACTGCTCATGTCTATAGGCGACGGTTACCACTTTCCATCAGGTGGGCCGTCAACTTGTTTGCCATTCTAGGTATATATATATATATATATATATATAATTTGTGTAATGCAAATAAATTATCTATCTATCTATCTATAAAAAAAATTCATACATGGATACATTGTCCACTAATTCACG